TGCCCTGGGGGAACCCAACGGCACCGCGCGCAGATCGGCCTCCGCCGGGCTGCAGCTAAGTGTCGGGCTGGAAAAACCTGCGAGGATGCGCGAGTCTGGCCACCCCCGCGCGTCCCCTTCCCCCCAAGCTGGTCCCCTTCTTTCTCCCGCGCAGCGTTTCCATGGGAACTGCAGCGGGGTCTGAGCGCCTGTAGTAGCCTCGCTCGGCACCACTTCCGATCAGGTAGAAACCAAGAGGAACCCTGGGTGGGAGCAGCCAAGTCGCCCGGGGACCCGGCCCTACACCGCCTAGCTCGTGCGGGCCGCCGTAATCGGCCTGTGCCCTCCCCCGGCGTGGCGGCACCCTTGGTGCGCGCGCTCTCATTGGCTGCATCTCCGGGGCATCTGCCAGCAATTGGGTCGCCCGAGGGCCATCCCTGATTGGCCAGATTGCTCTGCTTGTCGAAGGCACTCTGGAGCCTAAACGGGTGTAGGAGAACGAGGACAGGGCAGGGGCCGCGGGTCCTTGGTTAGGCGGCTGGGCCCCTGGTACACACGGCCTCCCGGCCGCTGTCTGTGGTGCTGAAGCCTCCTCGGACACCACCTTCGACCCAGTCTCTGGGAGCGCTTGTTTTTTTTGTCTCGCCGCCGCCCCGACGTAAAAGTACACTTGTGCCCGAGCATAAAAGGCTGTGCCAGCGCAGGTCCACCGAGGGACATCGGGAGCGCAGGAAGCCGGACGTTTAGCTGGCGGGCTCGCCCACTGGAAAGTTACGGGGTCCACGGGAGATCTGTGGAACTGGGGTGCAGCTCAAGGGTGGAGCGCGCGCTTGGCATGCGCGAGGCCCCGGGTCAAATCCCCAGCGCTGGGGGAGGAAAAGAGGGGAGAGGGAGGCGAGGCAGATTCGCGGCTGCGGGGCTCCACTGGGGATGAACTAAAATCTTCACAGCAGTGCGGTGTCCCCTGCCCTGGAGGGTACCAACGCTCACCTATTGAACCCGAGTCACAGCCCACCCCAAACCCACAGGTCCCAGCTTCCTTCCGCAGACAGATTAGGGCCACCCTAGCCCCCCCCCAACTCTCACCCGTTGTCTTGAGGGGGCTACACCCGCCCCCTCCAGCTATGGATCCAGGCCTCTGCCTGTGGAAATATTGGTTCCTTGTGCCCTTCCGGTTCTCTCGGTGATGGTGCGCTTGGACCAGTGATATCTCCCCTACCCCCTCTCCTTTCCGGATCTGGGTTCTGGGAGGAATAGGGGAACCCACCCTGCCTCCCAAGCAGAAAAACTGAGCAGGGGTGCCAAGGCCAGGAAGCACGGTCCTCGGGGCAGGAGGGCCAAGATCTGGCAAGCCGAGCCACCAGGATGCGCTTTTTTTTTTTGGCGGTGCTGAGTCCAG